CCCAAAATAATGACATCCAGCAACAAGCAAATCACAATGCACCAGAAATACATGAAATACAAGAGTCCTCTTGGAAGCATCCCTTAGGATTCTGTGACGCACTTGCTCTATTTTGAGAATTGCTACTGTGCACCAAGGTGATTTCAAGCACAAGCAAACCTGTGGAATTGTTCTCAGGACTACGTGCTGCGTGTATGGGCTTTTTCTGTCATGTGGGATGGTCTCCCCACCCAATCAAGGGTGATTCTCCAGTTGAAGCCTCACTTGCTTACCCAGACATTTTCCTAATCACAAACCTTCTCAGTTACCCCCTCCACGCCCAACCATTTTCATGATTACAATGCAGCCTTTGACAGTCAATGTTTTTTTCTCATTTGGACAGTTGGTTCGAGTACGTTTTTCTTGCACTGCAGGGCTTTCGAAGGCCCGTGGAGTGTAATGCGAGACTGGCCTCATTCTACTGGATCTCCAGCATTTGCACAAGCAAATGCTGGTTGTGCATTTGAATTTGTGGTGTTCCCACTTGCATAAGGAGATATTTGATGTTTCCTTATGCAAACCTCAATAATGTTAGAATTGCTTGCATAATGACCCATTCCAAGAACAGTCTGACTGAATAGGATCCTGGCATGGGCCTTTAATACTCAACTGTTTTAGGACTTTAAAAAAATAATCCTAGAAATGCATTAAATATGGATGCACACTAATATTACTGAAGACCATGGCAACTGTCTTTTTCTTTCTTATTCATTCTAACTTCAGCTCTCTAGGACAAGTACCCTTCTCTGTGTTGCCTCATGGTGTAGTGGTTAAAACGTGGTAAGGTAAAGATAAAGATTCCCCTTGACATTGAGTCCAGTCATGTCCAACTCTAGGGGGCAGTGCTCATCCCCGTCTCCAAGCTGTAGCGCTAGCGTCTGTCCGAAGACAGTTTCCATGGTCACGTGGCCAGTGTGACTAGACACGGAATGCTGTTACCTTCCCACTGAGGTGGTACCTATTTATCTACTCTCATTTGCATGCTTTCGAACGGCTAGGCTGGCAGGAACTAGGACAAGCGACGGGAGCTCACTCCATTGCGTGGATTTGATCTTATGACTGCAGGTCTTCTGACCTTGCAGCCCAGAGGCTTCTGCGGTTTAACCCACAGCGCCACCACGTCCCTTAAACTGCAGTACTGCAGCCAAAACTCTTCTCACAACCCATATTCAATCCTAAGTAGGCAGCTTGAGGTTCACTCAGCCTTCCATTGTTCCAAGGTTGGTAAAGGGGAAGGCAATGTATAGCCTGCGTAATCAAATTATAAACCACTCAGAGAGTGCTCTAAGTGCTATGGGCTGGTTTTGTCTTGTTTTTCTCCCCCAAATCTATAGTTCTTCCAATCGATTTTTCCTCTTTTCCAGTCTCCCCTTCCAATGCCCCTTTGCTTCCTTTGACCTTTTATGTTTCCAAATGGAAGGTTGCCTGCTCACAAACCTCCCTGTTTGTGGCTGTGATTTCCAATGTTCGTGGAAATCATCCTTCATCATTTCCCCCACCCCCATGCCATTGCTGCCCTAATAAACTCTCTTCATTCTCATGTTACTCAGTAAGATGTACAGCAGCAGATTTCCCATGGAGTTGTGCTCTCTGATGTCAGGGCCTCATAGTTAATATATTAAAGCATCATCCTGCACTGCTGTGATTAGGGAAAGGAGTGGTACAAAACCCATAATAGCAAACCACTCAGATGAGGAAGTGGGGTGCGAATTCTTGCTGTGCAGCCATTGGGTGGTCAGCTGCTGGAGGAGGCAGGGAAGGAAATCCCAAGCTCTTGCCTGGAGTGGACAACTGCCTGAGGAGGGGATCTCAGCAGGAAACAGTGGATTGTGAATGGGTCAGCTGGCTGGGGGGTGGGGAGAGCAAACGCGCTGCACTGATGGTGCCGTGTGTATGGATTTTAATGAAGTAGGCAAAATCAGTTTATACCCACCTCTTATAGTAAAACATTTTTGAGTATTCTCTATCTTAAACACCCTGCAAAGGTTTGGTGTAAGTTAGAACTGACTTGATGGCATATGAATAAGATTAATCAATTATTGCAAATTTGTTCATCTTTAGTCAAAAAAGAGTGGACATTAAGACACCATGTTGAAAAATAGTAAATTGAAGAAGATCTAAAAGGCTAGCATTTTTTTTCTCTCTTTTGTTTGGTCAGCATCAGCAATGGAGGTGAGGGGGGAACCTTTTGGTTATGTGAACACGAAAAATCCCTTGCATTTGGTGAAAACTTTTTATTTTGTCCAAGTAATTTATATTTCATATGAAAGAGTTTTTTTTTTAATGCGGTGGTTGCACAAAAATCCTAGTCTCTTAAAAAAAAAACACAAGGAGTTTAGCACAAAAATTACATTGCAATGTGTTGGAGTTCTTGGAACAACAACAACAAAAGGACCAAAATTTGAAAAAAAATCACAGAATTTCTGTGCAGAATCTTGCCCGGAGTGGAGAGTACATTTAAGATTTTTGTTCACTTCATGAGGATGAATTAAGTGAACTGAGCAGCCCAAAATAATGACATCCAGCAACAAGCAAATCACAATGCACCAGAAATACATGAAATACAAGAGTCCTCTTGGAAGCATCCCTTAGGATTCTGTGACGCACTTGCTCTATTTTGAGAATTGCTACTGTGCACCAAGGTGATTTCAAGTACAAGCAAACCTGTGGAATTGTTCTCAGGACTACGTGCTGCGTGTATGGGCTTTTTCTGTCATGTGGGATGGTCTCCCCACCCAATCAAGGGTGATTCTCCAGTTGAAGCCTCACTTGCTTACCCAGACATTTTCCTAATCACAAACCTTCTCAGTTACCCCCTCCACGCCCAACCATTTTCATGATTACAATGCAGCCTTTGACAGTCAATGTTTTTTTCTCATTTGGACAGTTGGTTCGAGTACGTTTTTCTTGCACTGCAGGGCTTTCAAAGGCCCGTGGAGTGTAATGCGAGACTGGCCTCATTCTACTGGATCTCCAGCATTTGCACAAGCAAATGCTGGTTGTGCATTTGAATTTGTGGTGTTCCCACTTGCATAAGGAGATATTTGATGTTTCCTTATGCAGACCTCAATAACGTTAGAATTGCTTGCATAATGACCCATTCCAAGAACAGTCAGACTGAATAGGATCCTGGCATGGGCCTTTAATACTCAACTGTTTTAGGACTTTAAAAAAATAATCCTAGAAATGCATTAAATATGGATGCACACTAATATTACTGAAGACCATGGCAACTGTCTTTTTCTTTCTTATTCATTCTAACTTCAGCTATCTAGGACAAGTACCCTTCTCTGTGTTGCCTCATGGTGTAGTGGTTAAAACGTGGTAAGGTAAAGATAAAGATCCCCCTTGACATTGAGTCCAGTCATGTCCAACTCTAGGGGGCAGTGCTCATCCCCGTCTCCAAGCTGTAGCGCTAGCGTCTGTCCGAACACAGTTTCCATGGTCACGTGGCCAGGGTGACTAGACACGGAATGCTGTTACCTTCCCACTGAGGTGGTACCTATTTATCTCCTCTCATTTGCATGCTTTCGAACGGCTAGGCTGGCAGGAACTAGGACCAGCGACGGGAGCTCACTCCATTGCGTGGATTTGATCTTATGACTGCAGGTCTTCTGACCTTGCAGCCCAGAGGCTTCTGCGGTTTAACCCACAGCGCCACCACGTCCCTTAAACTGCAGTACTGCAGCCAAAACTCTTCTCACAACCCATATTCAATCCTAAGTAGGCAGCTTGAGGTTCACTCAGCCTTCCATTGTTCCAAGGTTGGTAAAGGGGAAGGCAATGTATAGCCTGCGTAATCAAATTATAAACCACTCAGAGAGTGCTCTAAGTGCTATGGGCTGGTTTTGTCTTGTTTTTCTCCCCCAAATCTATAGTTCTTCCAATCGATTTTTCCTCTTTTCCAGTCTCCCCTTCCAATGCCCCTTTGCTTCCTTTGACCTTTTATGTTTCCAAATGGAAGGTTGCCTGCTCACAAACCTCCCTGTTTGTGGCTGTGATTTCCAATGTTCGTGGAAATCATCCTTCATCATTTCCCCCACCCCCATGCCATTGCTGCCCTAATAAACTCTCTTCATTCTCATGTTACTCAGTAAGATGTACAGCAGCAGATTTCCCATGGAGTTGTGCTCTCTGATGTCAGGGCCTCATAGTTAATATATTAAAGCATCATCCTGCACTGCTGTGATTAGGGAAAGGAGTGGTACAAAACCCATAATTATTTAAGCTTGGCTCAATCTACTGTTGGATCTGGTCTCACCTACTGTAGGCTCAGCCGCCCCCTACCATTCTGTTTGTCTGTGACCGTGATGCATCTCAGCTTGAAATACCCATTATCTATCTATCTATCTATCTATCTATCTATCTATCTATCTATCTATCTATCTATCTATCTATCTATCTATCTATCTATCTATCTATCTATCTATCTATCTCACCTTTTTCTTAAAAAGGAACCAAGACAGCTTACATCAATTAAAAGACAGCATTTAAGCTAACAATAGCGAATACAGTATATAAATACTGTACTAAATAGGATCAAATGGATACAATACTAAAAACCAGAAAACCATAACTTTGCTTAGGACCCATCCTTGCTTCTTACCCAGCTGTCCATATCTTCTTTTGGTTTCCTATGGACTACTACAGGATTGAAGCAGCTCACCCACTGATAGGAAAAGATCCTCAGGATGAGAGCAGCCTATACAATGGCAGGGAGAAATTCCTTAGTCTGTCCTCCCTGCTGCTAGGATAGCTCAGCCAATCACAGCAGGCAACCGCATGATCACCACCCCCTCAACCTCTTCGTTCATTACCATATAGATTGAATGAAAAGAGCAGAAATGAGGGTTAAAGTCATGTAAGGGCTGAGCTCCATGCAAAAATGCCAGGGCGGCTGGCTGGACTCCTCGCTTTCCTACATCTCATTCCGCCTCTCTACCCCGGGGCTCTGAAATTACCTCGTCGAAGTCAGCAATGATTTCATTCAGCAGGCGCAGGCACTCAACCCCTTGATTATTCATTTCAGTCTGGGAATAGAAGTCGGCAAAGCCAGGGATGGAAGCAAACATGACACCAACGGCGTCGTAGGACTGAGAGTAGAGTTCCTAAAAGGTTCGACAAAGTGGGGAGAAGAAAGAAATACACTTGTGAAAAACACAACCATGTGGCATAGTGTTTGCATTTCAGCAGACATCAGCCAAATCTTTTTTTTTTTCATATTTTGATATTACAGGTCCCCCCCCCCCAAAAAAATCTCCATCAACATGGCCAGTTCGCACAATCAGGGGCTGTAATCCTGTTGGGTAGCTATGCCTGCATCACTCGAAGCTATGCAGGCAGTTATGAGATTAGCACTAAGGCAGCCGTTGAATTAAAAAAAATCTTTGTGAGCCATTGTGCAGTCAGTTGTGTGGCTGGCTGTGCCGTTTACTGCACTACTATTTGTATGATTTGTTGTCACGTTTAGTGCTGGTTCATCATGCAATCATACAGAGACTGTGTAGGTGTAACTCCTCATTAATATACACAGGTGTAACTTTATAGCCTTGGTTCCCAACCATGAGTTCCCAGAAGTTATTGGACTGCAACTCCCATAAATCCTTGCCAAAGGTGTAACTTTATAGCATTGGTTCCCAACCCTGAGTTCCCAGAAGTTATTGGACTCCCAGAAATCCTTGCCAGCACAGCTAATGGTGAAGACTTCTAGGAGTTTTAGTCCAAGAACATCTGGAGCCTCAAGGTTGGGAGTCCGGTTGGGGGTCACTGCTCTGTACCAGCAGAATTTCAGATGTAGAATCATACAAGAGTAGAGCTAGAAGACCCTGCAATTCTTGCCGAAGCAGGAACTCCACAGCTAAAACATCACTGATAGGGGAGAATCTAAACTATAATTAAAAAACTTCAAATGAAGGAGAATCACCAGAGTACAAAACAGTTCGCCCTATTTTTATAGTTAACATTCCATAAAATATTTTATGTCATCAAAACCAGGCACCAAGAGGGAAGGAGATTGAAAAAGGTTTTTTTTTTAAGCGGGGAGAAAAAATAGACCTAAAGACATCTGAAACCACTGAATAAGCACTGAATACAAACAGTGGCATAGAATAAAGGGTGGCCATTGTGTGTGTATAGAAACTTGTAGGTGAAGAAGAAGAGGAGGAATGGAATATTTCGGCTGATCAGAATCCTAAGCAGGAACATCCCACATTTCACTTCTCTCTCTGTCTATCTGCTTGACTACGCACCTACATATATATAGTTGCAGGGGTTTCAACCCCCAATTTCTATGAGACCACTCATACACTGGATGCATGTTAGAGCATACAGACATGTTCCAGAAAGAGCAAAACTTTCTCCCCACTTTTCCTGGATTCGTCCAGGTTGGTTGTGAAAGCACATGAGACTTACTGGAATTCACATCTAAACAGATTTATATGAGACTTCTCTGGAAATGTCTCCTCCCTTAAAAAACAACAACCCTTAAGTCACTGTTTAAAATATATTTTAAAAATCCAATTGTGTCTGGAGCTTCTGCTCTTGAGCCATTTTTTTCACTTCTGCTTTTGCAGTTAATTAACAAAAAGCAAAAAAAAAAAAAAACACTAACTGGAAGCTTCTGATTGGGAAATTCTGATGACAGAATGAAGGGTTCATGAGCCATATCAACTCTGATCCCTGGAACAAACCAAGATTAAAAACAAAACACTGTGTCTTGCAGAAGGGACAAAAAAAAGCATTGAGGGTCTGATATTTTGCTACTGTTTGTTACAAGTTGAACAAACCAAAATTGTGTCCATAGCAGGAAGCGTACTGATAAAATCAGTGCACACATTATGGAGAGGAAACGATCTTTTGGGGAAAATTCCCTCCCCCAAACACATATTACAATCAATTCTCCATTGGTCCTTTTGACCAGGTAGTGTCGACACAGGAAATCCTAACCAAATGTTTGCACGAAGGGCATTGACTCCATTCCTTTCCCTGGAGAAAGATGAGGCTAAATTCATTACACAGATAAGTATTTACTGCATTAAAACCTGAATTAGCCAGACAACTAATTTATAGACTCTCTGCTGGGATGATTACTCAACGAAAGAGCCTGAAAGGAGAGGAATTATAGGGTGAGATCAGAGACCTTGTCTGGGAATAATAGCTGCAAATGGCAAACAGGGACAAGTACTTGGTGCAATGAGGACCGAGGTAGGAGGCAACGATGCTTTGTATTGTACAGCATGATATTACTGGAATGGATCAACCATTTCACATAGTTCATCTGCTTGCCTTTACTTCACCAGTTCTGTGTCTCTCTAGGGTAAGCCATATATTTAAACAAATCATGCTTTAAACATGTTAAGAGATGCACTGCACTGTGTGATATGTTAAACATATATTGTACTTCTAGTTCTCCTCTGGGATGGGAAATCAACTCACTGGACTCACTGTCATGTGAGACTTAAGTTGCCCCAGTGACTTGACTCAGCCTTGAATTTTTTTTCTTTTAATAATTTGGACTCGACTTGGAAGCCACCCACCTCTCCCTTTTCTCTGGGGGGAAAAACTTGTTTTTAATAGGGGCTTGGGACTTGGACCCAAAGACTAGGGACTTGTACCAAAGACTTGGACTTGGGACTTGGGACTTGAGACCAAAGACTTGGACTTGGGACTATGGCTTGAAGACTTGCCACTGTCTCTGGTTCCCCTTGTGGTCTTGCTGTTCCTTCTCATATGACAATATAATTATTTGTTATTAGTAGTCATAACAGTAATATTGCAAATTGATTTTATAGTTTGCCTTTCATCCAGGAATGAATTGGAAAGAGGATTACAATTAAACATAACAAACACAGTTAAAACATACAAAACCAGAATTCTGTTGAAATAGCCAAGTTTGCACCATTGGCAGGATCTCCATTGCAGAAACAGCATAGCAACCAGTGGCCAAAATCCTGTTGCTTAGTATAGTAAGTTGCACTACAGCAGGCCCATTGAATCAGTGAGAATTTGATGAACCAACTTCTCTATAAATTTCATTGGTTCAATGGGCTTCTTTTATTTATTTATTTATTTATTTGATTTATACCCCACCCATCTGGTCTAAAAGACCACTCTAGGCGGCTTCTAATATAGTAAAAACAGTGAAATAATACAAAAAACACAAACAATTACATAAATCATATTGTAATAAACAGAATACAACAATAGAATAGAAAATACATAAGGAGAGAATAAACAGAAAAGTTTTAACCACTGCGCCACGCGACTAACTTAAGCGTAGTAAGTTGCAACTAGAGTAGGCCTATTTCAATCAATGGAATTTACAGAGGAATTTATTCACCCAGTTTCCACTGATTCACTGGGCGTATCTAGGTGCAAAAGATGACTGGATGTCAGCCACTTTGTTTTTTCCAACAATATTCCAGCCGAAAGTGAGTAAATGCCAAATAAAGTGAAATGGAATAGAATAATGAACCAAACAAAAAGGAACAACAACAAGAACCCAACAACCCAACAACAACTCACATAACCCAAGTCAAACATAGTGGAAAGACTATAGGGAAGGAGAAAGTCTAACTTCCCTTATAAGGAGTTCAAGACTCCTGGAGGAGGAGAAGACCCCTCCTCATGACTGCTACAAATGTAATTTAGAAGCTGGTAGGACCGAGAGCAGCTTGTTCTTCACCCCCCCCCCAAAAAAAAGCACAAAAAGAAAACAGTCTATTCTTCTTTTTAACTACTCCTGGATCTGCTAAGTGGGTGTTGGAACAAATTATTGTAGTTTATATGCTGCTCTGCTGTGCAGTTTACTCCTGTTCAGGATTTCAGCCAGTCATGCCCTTCTTTCATGGAGAAGCCCATTCTGTTCCTCCCCACAACTCAGCTTTTTCCAGTTCTTCTTCCCCACGAGTCAGTCTGCAGGCTACTGCCACAGAACATGCTCTCTCCTGATGGGACTCTTTCTTAGCTTCCACCTCCCCAGTTTTTTTCCCAGGGGCCTAAAGATATTTTGCTTTTCTGCCCATCTTCTTTCTGCAACATTTAGCAAGACTCACCTCTAGATGTCTGAAACAGAAGGGGGAATAATAGTGATAAGAGTAAGAGCAAAAACAACACTTTGTTTTTAATTCAACGGCTTCTACATGCTGTGCCCTACATTGTCCAATCAGGGTAAATTATAACTACAGTACTGTAATGTTGGTTGCGGTAGGTTTTTCAGGCTGTTTGATCGTGTTCCAAAGGTTTTTCTTCCTAACATTTCACCAGTCTCTGTGGCTGGCATCTTCAGAGGACAGGAGTTAGAACTCTGTCCGTGTTAGGAAGAAAAACCTTCAGAATACGGCCAAACAGCCTGAAAAACCTACAACAATCATCGGATCCCAGCCGTGAAAACCTTAAAGAATACATATAACTAATGTTATCAATCAATCAGTGTTTTAAAAGCTTAATTAGTTTTATGTCACTTAGTTTAGTATGTAATTATTGAGCAGTTTCTCCAGGTCTTGGGGACCTACAAGCTATGAAGACATAGATCAAGGAGTTGTCATTTTAGCAAAGTGACTCTTAGGCTGTGATGAAGAAAAACACTAAAAGAAAACTCAGGAGTTCAAGAGAAGTTCCTTCGTCAGTTGTTGATCACTTTCATGACCTACTTCATTATCTCGGTCCTTTTCCAAGAAGTGACGGGCCACATGACTTGGTAAGATGTTGCGCAGCATATTTTCATTGTGTTCCCTCAACTCCTTCATTTCGTTGATTTCTTCTTTGGCCTGGCCACGCCACAGGAAGTCAAGCCTCGCTGTGTACTCAAGCTGAAGTGATTGCAAGAGAAGGGGAGAAAATATTAATAAAATGTCAAGACTGTTCAATCCCTGATTTTCTTCTTCTTCTTCTAAAATTGACCTTCAGTCACCAAAGTAGCCATTTTGTTTTCCCAGAATCATGTTTTATTACAGAATTCATACAGAACTAGATAAAGTAGACCCTTTAGGATGGTGTCATCAGAAGGGTTTAAACAACACCTTCAGGTTTCAGTCACTTGTCATGTTAAGTTTTTTTTTTATAAATATATATAAAAATCCTGGGACATAGGGTTTCTGAAGAAATTTTTGCCACTGGAGTACTTCGTTGGTCCAGCCAATTAAATATCCCACAGATGTCCTGTGTCATTTTTCACTGAACTACAATGCTAAGAACAATAAGTGAAATACCATAATTGCAGGTAGGCTCATTCCATTTGGAAGAGGGAAGGATTGGACTTCTCAGTAGGTTGAGGAAAAGCATCATTAAATCCTAACCTTGTATCAACCTCCACAGCTAAAGTTTACTCCTATCTTAATGCTAACTATTAATATGCTGGAATGTCCATATGGACATAAAATGCCCCAGAATTTTATGTCCATATGGAAATTCAAGTGGTTTTTTTTAAATTTCCGAGGACGACATTGAAGGGAGCCACTGTGAATTTGCCCTCCCCCCCTTCACTTGAGTGTGAAATAATTGGGAGGTGGGCAAACCAATGTAGAAGCAATGAGCAAATGAGAGAAGTTCCACATTAGGTTATAGATCTGGCTATAATTATGTAAACTAAATGGATTTGGGTGGGCAACTGATGATCTTCAGATATTTTTGTATGACAATTCCTATGATTTTTCACTACTGGCTATGCTGGCTTAGGCTGATGGAATCTAAATGGTTACAGGTTGTCCTTCCTGGCTCATGAGAAACCGTCTGAGGTAAATCTAATTGATGGTGCTTAAATCCTGTTTCAGTTGGAACAAACCTCTTGAATCAATGGCGTTTATCTAATTAATTGACTTAAGACCTTTATTCAATGGGTTTGCTGTAGCTGGGGGTACCAATAACACTTTTAAGCATTCCTTTATTTTCTTCCTTTTCCCCCAAAAAGGTTTTAAACCAATGGCTTCAAACTTTGGGTTCCCAACTGTTTGCGGACGAAAACTCCCAGAAACCTTCAGGACTAGTTGTGCCAGACAGGATTTCTGGCAGGAACACCTGGGCACCCATGGTCAAGAAGCATTGTTCCAAACAATGTACAGTGGTGCCCCGCTTGATGATTACCCCGTTTAATGATGAATCCGCTTTACGATGTTTTTTTTGCAATCACAAAATGATGTTTCAATGAGGTTTTTGTTTGATGACGATCGGTTCCCTGCTTTGGGAACTACGATGGTATTTTTGCCGCCTGCTGTTCAAAATCGCTCCCCGCTGTGCTTTAGGACGGATTCATCGCATTACAGGCACCATAAAATGGCCGCCCTATGGAGGATCTTCGCTGGACGCTGAGGTATTTCCCCATTGGAATGCATTGAACCAGTTTTCAATGCATTTCAATGGGCTTTTTCATTTCGCTTGATGAGGATTTCGCTGAACAGCAACTTGAACAGAACAAATTATCTTCGTCAAGTGAGGCACCACTGTACTTGGGTTCCCCTTTCCCTGAATTTGATCCTTGTAGCAGTCCCGGTTAAGAACAGGTGAGTTGCCCAAGGATGCCAATGAGGTTTCTATCAGAGAGGGGTGGAAAAAACAAGGCTCCATTGATATCAATGGAGGTTTATTATAACATTTTTATTCCTGTCACCCCAGTGCAGTGGGTGGGTGTAACATTTTATTCAGAAAAGCTGGGAATGGAAAGATAAATCCTCTCTTCTCCAGACACAGTGGTTCTGATAAAGATCAGGGCCTCGCTTGCTTAACAGGGAGTAAATTAAAAGAAGCAGCAAAATGGCCAGTTTTAACCGAAAAGCATCAGATTGACAGAGGCATGAAATCAATTCTAATGCAATGAATTATACATGTCAATTCACCTACAATTTGTCTTTTGAATCTTGAGTTGTTCAAACTGGTCCTGAATTCCCACAGGCAGTCGGAGAGCTCTCTTTAGCCCTAGTTAAATAAAGTGACTCAGACGCAGATTCTCACCTTACTGCTTTCCGTATGCAACGAGTTCGTACAACTTAAAGAAATCCTGCACGCAGCTAGCCAAGGAGAATTAAGGGGGAATCAAGAAGGAATACACAGCCTTTCCTCAAATATAAGATCCCCGTCTTCTAAAAGTACATTGCTTTACCAGAAATACTTAGTACCTTGAATTAATGAATCTCTAGGCAGTTCATTATTGCATTAAAGAATCATCTGTATTTTTTCATTACAATTTAAAGCACTCTCTCTCTCTTTCTCTCTCTCATTCTCTCCAGATTCTTCTAATAGGTCTGTCAGGAGAATGACACTGTTGGATTCTGCTTCATATTTGTGCAGAGATGTCACCAGTGAGATAAGACTGGGGGCTCTACTGCGCATGTGCATCTAATGCATAATCAGATTATTATATCACAACATTCACTCCAGCCTTCCAAATACCATATTCTGCTCTTTGAAAAAGGTTTGCTTGTTATCTTTTCTTTTCATGGAACAAATATTAATGGTAGGTTTATAGGCTGCTTTCTGTTTTAATGCAGTCAGAATGCCAGAGTGCAGCCAAATGTTTTAAAGAGCACATCACGTTCAGGATCATAGAACTGTTCTTATGTTACATAAAAGTCTTTGTCCTAAAATATTTGATATACTGTACAGTAATATGAAAGATGGCTAATGGAGCTTTTTTAAAGATGCTGATGACCATCATGGCAATGACAACCACTATGATGGTGAGGATGATGTAATCGTACACCATGCTGGGGTTCCTCTGACTATTGACCTTTGTATCTAGAACTAGGAATAGATCTTGCCCCAATGATGTCTTTGAATGCAGCAAATTTATTAGCCTTACTTCCCAGGTTTAATTAAAAAATTTGGAACTATGATTCCCAGAACTCTCTAGCCATTGTAGCCACTGGCCATAGCATGTGAAGGACATTGGGTATTGTAGTACAAAGGAAACCGTCCAACTTTGGGATTTGGGATCCTACTGTGTTGTGGAATGTCCAAAAAGAAGAAGAAGAAGAAGAAGAAGAAGAAGAAGAAGAAGAAGAAGAAGAAGAAGAAGAAGAAGAAGAAGGGAAAAGCACAAGGAAGCTGGATGCTCCCTATATAGGATACAAATTAGTTTATTTTTTAGAAGGTTTGACTCAAAAATGAAATGACGGACTTTCGTTTTTCAAGACTTGAACAGGGCTATTAATGAGAAGACCACCTCCAGATCATTGCCATAAATTGGAAGCAACGTGATAGCACCTAACATGGTATAATAGTAGCTGTTCTATCACAACTAGTAAGTCAGAACTAGCGTAGGCACATTGAATCAAAGGAACTTCTGACTCACCAAATTCCCATTGATTCAATGGGGCTACTCCCATTGTGACTAACCACTAGATTTCTGCCAGTTTTGACACTCTCAGAATGGCTACCAAGAATTAAAACCAATATAAAATATTATAAAACTGCATAGATTTTTTTTAAAAAAATGCAGAACAGTGGTTAAATACATATCATTGAAGTGGCTATGTGCTATCTTTATGCAATCTTTCTGAAAGGTTAATTAGACATGCAATTATTAAAGATCATAAGATACTCTTGGTTGATTTTTCATTATATGATACAAAGAACAGCTGCAGTTTTCAAGTAATCACCGAGGAGCAATGATGGATATTTCCAGCTTTTGGGGGAAAACATGATGCAGATTTTTACAAACTGAGGAATGAAAGAGGAATTCTTGCCTTACCTGTTGGCCATGATAAAACACAGCTAGCAAAAACACGGCCATAAGGAGCAAAGATGCTTCTTTAGTCCCTAGGAAGTTTGTGCTAGAAAGAACAAAAAAGAGGTAGAAATGGAATGGAATAGCAGCTTGTTCAAATAAAATGTGCATTATCAAGCTATTTATATTGCTTATCAGACAGAAAATCTATGAATCACTCAAATAAAGAGGGCCAGTGTCCTGTATTTTTTAAAAATACGATTTCACATTTATTTCTCATGCAGAATTTCGTCTAGAAGCAATAAACAAAGATAAATGAAATGAAGTTAGCATTATACGACTGACAGAATGTGCTCTGAAATTATATTTTAGAACATGAAGATTGCAGGCAAACTGATCTAATCCAGTTTTATCAGCTGTAGCTCAAAGCTCTGATGGTTAAATAACCAGAGTCACAGTTTTAATCCTATTTCCTTCTTGTACCTTCTCCTAGATGCAAGTGGAAACAACAGAAACTATAGACCAGTGCTCTAGGAAATGATATTGACACTGGAGCATACTGGGTGGGAGGGAATTTTTGCACAGATATTTCCAGAAAACGCTCATAATCTATAATAATACTCTTAGAACTGCAGAGCTGCAAGGGACCCTATGGATCATCCAGTCCATCCCCTGTCAAGGAGGCACTGTGGGGAATTGAACTTCCAATCCAGGTGCCTAAACCACTGAGCTATCCAGCAGCTCATTGCTTTCACTTGTCTGTTTCTGCCACTGAGACGTTTGGAGGAAGATAAACAGGGAATAGAGAGGGTTGGCAGTTTGTGTAGTTTGGGAGACTGTAGTAAATGGGTATGCGAAGACCCCATGAAAATGGTAAAAATCACCATGTAAGGTGTCAGTGGTGCAAGAAAATATAGGGCAGCCATCTACTTTGGACTAGAGCCTGTCATTTTTTCTGCTCTTCTTAAGTGAACCACCTCTCTCTGGGAAAAGCTTTTCTCAGACTTTACACTGGATGGCTGGAACCTATCTTCATTCCCGTGCTCCAGCCCAGACAACAACAGTGAGGGAGGCGCTTTCTGACAGTAATGGTGGAGAAAGATTGACACATCAAACCAGCCGTGGGATTGCTTTCCTATTTGGGGAGCCACCATAAGGCTGCATTCTTTCATTTGGGCTGCATCCGTTTCCAGCTGAGGAGATACTTCCAGCATTGTTAAGGAATCATCTTGTCTAGATATGCGATGACTCAGAGAGAGTTCTCCATTTTGCTAGCCTTTTTTTTTTTAAACACTTTTGTTGTTTGAAGAAACAAGAAAGCAATGTTGTATAATGGTTTTGTTTAGATGCATTTTGTGGAATTGGAAAGCATTTTCTGGACTGATACATCTGAGTAGGAGGGAAGATGGTACTGTAGGCTTGAAAAGTCCTCTAATAATATTCACCTATTTTGTTTTTATATTTATAGAAGGACCTCTTGGGGCAGCTCAGAAAACAGAACTTGTAAACACTTGGGGGGAATCCTGTTGCGTGTGTTAAATCTACACAATGAGAATGACATCATTGTCCGTGTCAGAATGCCACTGATTAAAGTCTTCATTTTTCAATTTCAAGGTGTACCAGCCTTCATCTAACCGGGCACACCCTGAAATTGTAGAAACCTGCCTTTGAGGTTGATGTCATTCCTGTTGCAAAAGCAGAGCTGCGCAACAGGATTGGAAGCCTTAAAAGCAACATAGAAACAGCTACATAATAAAACCCTAAGTAAAACTAATAGTATCGAAATCAAGAAAGCACAAACATTTTTTTTTTACAAAACTAGAAGAATAAAAATAGCCAGCACCCAAACAACCACAAAACTGGAGTAGGGTACCCAGCTCAGCACTTTAGCATTCCCTGAGATTTCAAGATCAAAAGCTAAGCCCAGGGATCTCACAAAGGGCATGTCCTTGGATTAGAGATGGGCATGAACTGAAAAAAAAACAGTGGTTTGTCATGAACCTATGGAAAAACTGACTGTTTGAGGTTCATTTCTCTGGTTCGTGCTGGGAGGGGGGCCCTATCTGCTCCTGCCACCTTTGCCTCCAATGTGGATGCAAATTCAGAGGCAGTGACAGGCTCTTAGCAGGAAAAGTGGGCCTGCTTCCTCTGGCAACAGTACCCACTGCAGTGGCAGCGGTGGGAGCAGGCAGGAGGAGGCGACAGGATAGTGGGGAGGGGACAAGCAAAAAAAAAAGCCAAAAGGAAAAAAAAAGTTTGGTGCTCCATTTCGATCTGGCAAAATAGGATCCCCAGCCTGGTTTTCGTTTCATGCCCATCTCTAATTAAAACCCCTGCTCAGCCACAGCAACACACTGGAAGGTGGCAATGATAGATGAATCCTTGAACATCTCACATACCTTGAAAGTTCAAAGACATTTGTTGGCATATAACAATATTGTTTTAGAGTGGCTGGGAATTATGTAGGTGGATCTGTGGAATTTTCCTGGATTTGTTTTCTAGTTCTGTATTCCCTATTTAGTTTATCATGTACGGGCTTAGGCTCTCGGGAAAGAATACGAGCTTCATAAGAACAACATGACAAAGTCACAGTGGAAGAGCACATTCCACACAACACAGAAACCCTTCTACTTAGTTTATTAAATGCAAACGTTTTCCAGAAATTTCACAACAAACACAGGCTACTTAAGTCTGCCTAATACGTTTGTTATATGGAGTCTTGATGGTTTTAAGTTTTAACCTGTAAACTGTCCAGAGTAATGCTTCCATTAGTGGGAAGGTATATAAATAAAGTACAAAGCAAGAACAATGGAAAACATTATTTCAAAGCAAACATTATTGGAAGTCTGCTTTGAAGCATAGAAAGTTGCTACCATTCGCTGGGAATACCAAGGCTCCCTCCAGCTCAAGACCAATTCCAGCTACGGTGATGGTGGAATATTTGATCCTCCGCATGTTGGCGGATTCTGGGAGCTGTTATCTAATACATCGGAAGAGCCAAAGGCATTCTTAGTCTTGTCTACACTGACTAATCACAGCTCTTCAGGATTAGGGTGAGGCATCTTCCTCGCTCCTACCTGGAACACCTGTTAACACCTGGATATTGCTGCAGACAATGCAGGTGCTCTTCTCCCACATTGCCCAACAAATCTTATCTTGGAGGAGAGGTTTTATTCTGTGCCCTTAAAGATTCCTGCCACTGGAGTCATACAAACAAAGGAGGTTTAAATGGCATCAGAGACTTACTCTCCATTATGGTGGATATCATCGTATCGTTGAAAGAGGGAAGCATAAATGGTCTCAGTCAGGAAGCAATAGATGGCAATCATGATGAGAAGCACTGCCAACTTGAGGACAGAGTTGAGGCGGAGAAACACAGCGCACGTCACCATGGCCAGGATACCAGTAAAGACAAAATACTGTAGAAAGAAGACGCCCAGGGAAAGAATCGGCTTCAGATTGCAGTACTAACTCTGCATCCGAAGGATACACGGACCTTCGATTTTGCAGAACTTAAAGTTACTCTTTGAAGTTGCATCTCCCAGAATTCGTGAGATAGCATGACCACTCCTTGTGCAGTCAATGGGATTTTGAGAGTCACTTTCCCATGCTTTGCATTTCTGTGGGTCAACGCTCTACCAACAGCCTGCTACAACCATTTCTGTTCTTACATACTTATTCCGCCCTTCTGCCCTGCCACTGACTTCATGCCATCACACGTGTCCAATCCTGGTTTTTATTCTTACAACAACCCAGTGAGGTGGCTTAGATTGAGGGACAGTGAGGGTCTTCCTGAAGTCACACAGTAAATTTCACAGTTTAAAATTTCCTCCTTCAAGGACAACAGTGCACCTCTTACACTCACTCTGACCTATTTGGTGTGTGTGTGTGTGTGTGTCTCTGTGTGTGTGTCTGTGTATGTGTGTGTGTCTGTGTGTGTGTGTTTGTGTGTGTGTGTGTGTGTGTGTGTGTGTGTGTGTGTGCGCGTGTGTTGTGTTTTCCAAAAAGAGATACACTGTTCATGTAAGTTGGCTCAGAAATTTTGGAAACTGATTTTTAAGGAAATATGTGATATATTTGGCAAAGATATTGGATTTAACTCTAAAATGGCTTTGCTGTCAATTTTTGATAAAAACAGATCTTGATTATTATTCGAAGGAATTGATTTCTAACTTTATGTCAAGTGCTCGGACATTAATAACTAGGCTTTGGGGAAATGATATTAAATTAGAAGATTGGTATGGTGAAGTATGGGGCATTGCATAAAATGATAAACTGACTACTGAACTCAAGATGAAAAGAGGGGAAATTAGTTCAAATATTTTATGCTACTTGCGGTAGATTTGTTGAATTTGTATTAGTGAAAGGAAAGGGGAAAGCCTCTAAACAACAACCTATACAATTTTGGAAAGGAAGTTCGTAATGAAAATATTGTTCAACGGATCCCGTGGGTATTTAGTGTATAGTAAGCACTATTTTTTGTATTTTTGTGTTTGTTTTTGTTCTAAAAATAATAAAAACCATTTATATATATAAAAAAGAGATACACTGTTCCTTCCAGCTTCATGGGGGACTATGAGTGGAAAGCAGTTATATATGGCTCTTTGCAGATGCCAGAAAAACGGGCTGCGAGGTTTTGCAGCATTCTGAAATACAAACTTGTTGGCTCTGATTATAACCTGCTGTTATTTTTCTATAGCACAATCCAGGGATTTGGCTTGCATGGGAGCACTCTGAAGTATCCTCTATGATTTCACTGTAGGAGCATGCTGTGCTAATGATACCCCCATGCACCCTATTCCCCCACCCTGCAGAGTTTTCAATCAACATATATTGTGATGACTGTTACATTTCTTTTCATTTGAAGCACAGGAATTACCTCTGGGTAGGAGCAAATGTCTGGAAAATATGCTGAAGAGTTGAAAGTCTGATTCTTAAAGGCTACTGGTTGGTCGAAGTCACACCACAGCTGTGGACAAGGAAGGAAAACAATTAATCCTGTTGACACTCCCATAGCTGGGCTAACTCTCTGTTTATCAGGAGGAGGACACAGTTGTATTTGCTTTTGTATCTAGAGTTTGGAGGTTCAGAGCAGTTGGTTTCTTGGCTGGGCAGCAGATCCACATTTTGGTGCCCCACCTCTCCAGCAGGCATTCAATTGGCAGCAGTGCTCTCTTCTGCCTCCGAGTGCGTGCCCATTGGAGGGGCAGGGTGCCAAACCACAGATCAGCTGTTTGGCCAGGAAATTAACTGTGGCTTGTGCCCATCTCTACTTGTATCCCTTTTCCTTCTAAGGAATGCAAGCTTGAGTACATACTGGTAGAGACAAAATATTCCTACCACCCTTTTAATCCCCACAGCAGCCTTCTGAGAGGTAGATCATGATGAGATATAGACTGGCCCAAAGTTGCCCAAAATTCAAAGCTACCTGGAAATCTGAACGCCGGTCTCCCAAGTTTTAGCCCAGTGCTCTATTCCATGGTGGAGTTGCTCCTGTTGTTGTTGTTTAGTTGTTAAGTCGTGTCCATCCCTTCATGACCCCATAGACCAGAGCACGCCAGGCCCTCCTGTCTTCCACTGCCTCCTGGAGTTTGGTCAAATTCATGTTGGTCGCTTTGATTACACTGTCCAGCCATCCCGTCCTCTGTCATCCCCTTCTCTTCTTGCCTTCACCCTTTCCAAACATCAGGGTCTTTTCCAGGGAGTCTTCTCTTCTCATGAGATGGCCAAAGTATTGGAGCTTCAGGATCTGTCCTTCCAGTGAGCACTCAGGGTTGATTTCCTT